CTCGCCTGTGGAAGGATGCAGGAGATGTCCAATGCAACACGCCTGAGATCCGGCTGGCTCTCTGAGTCAGAGATACTTAGATGCTGCTCTGCGCACAGGACTGCCTGCCTACTCGTGGAAGGCAATTCTGTTGTGGCCGTGTGTGTGTGCGTGTGCGTGTGTGCGTGTGTGTCTTGGCCTGTCTGTAGTGGCTTCAGCCTTAGCAACCTCACAGCCAATTAAGGCCATCAGCAGGGGGCTCGCTTAGAGGCCAGGCGAGCAGCGCGCCCCCTCTCCCCACCCGCAGGGCCTCTGTGTGTACCGCACTCGCAAACAGCTGGTTCAGCTTTGAGAGTGCACGGACGCTTCTCCACTGTGTGACCACGTGGGGGTTTCTCGTGCGTCAGGCTGGAGTGAAGAAAGGGGGAAGGCAGGGTGGTCGTGGACTCCTGAGGCTGAGAAATGATGTCCTGCGTCTACACAGCGTGCAGTGAGATTAGTGTCTGCATGCACCGTACCCTCTGATATGGTAGCAGCCAAGCCAAACCCACAATTACTTCCCCGTTGGCTCACAAAACAGTGGTTCCTTTCTCTCCTGTTTTCCTTTTATTATTTTTTATAGAGGGCTATTATAATGGCAACAGATCTCATTTCACCACTTGTATTTCATTTCAGGAGCTTGTGAGCACATCATGGCTGAGGTTTTGTAGAATTCCATGGTTTGGTGAGGAACGGAGTTCCTCCCTCCTCCCAAAGCACTTAGTCTTTTCCTCCTACGGGTAACGGACAGATAGGGGTAAGATGGTATTCTATGCAGAAGGAGCTGGGTCAGATTCAGGCAAGACCCAAGCTACAGAGTGCTCCTGTCCTTGGGGGTCTCTGCTGAAGAGCAATGAGGGGCCGCAAAGGGAACAGCCCGCATGTTGCAGCCAAAGTCCAGTTTTTGACTTAGGTAAATTCTCCTTGAACTTGACTTCAAGAGGTACGTGTGCTGCATAAAAGTCCACCACATGAAAGCTCACAGCTATGACAATTAGAAGAGGCTGCTGAGCTGGGGGCCAGGAGGTACACTTCTTTTCTTGCTTCTGTCTCTAAGTCCCTGGCACACCTGGCCTGAGGCTTCTGGCTCGGGGGAGCTGGTGGGCAGGTGGTAGCTGCCTCTGGAGAGCTGCTGGGAGATGGAGTGTTCAGGAGCTACACCCCTCTCCCTGGTGCTCACGCCTTTCTCTACAGTGTCTTTGCCACGAAACCTGCAGGGCAGGACCCCTTTCTCCACGACTCTGCCTCTGCCCCTGACATCTCAGGTAGGGCTGGTACAGCCAGGTGCCCATTCAAGGTCTCCAGAACGAAAGCAGAGTGAATACAAGGTCAGGTCCTCTTGTATTGAGCTGGAACTGACGTGTGTAAGTAACACGCAGTGAGTCAGCAAACCCGGCAGGTCCAATCCTCAGCCATCTTCTATCTGCTGGTCGGACCTCTAGATGAAATAAGCCTTAGCTACGCCAATGGATTTTGAGTATCCCCTGCCTCCACACCCCTTCAGGCAGCCTGCCGTGCTCTGCAGAGCAGACCCTGCCTGGCCACCCACCTCTCAGTACTCTGCTGGGTCCCAGGGAACTACGGATCTGACGTACCATCCCCTCTACCACTTCCCATCTAGCCAGGCTGAGCCCCTTAGTGACAAGGAACCGACCACCCCAGGGGAGCCTCGGTTTGAAGGTCCGAAAGCAACGGCTCCACCAACCACTGAGCAGCACAGGACCTGGGAGCACCAGGTACGGCCAAGTTTGCTGTGTCCATCTGGCCAAGGCATCACACCCAGCGACTCAACCCAGCACTAATCAAGGTGTTGCTGTGAGGATTTTGCACAGATGCTGTTAACATCTGTCATCCATTGACATTAAATAAAGGCAATCATCCTTAATACTGTGGGTGGGCCTCATCTAATCCGGTGACGGTCCAAAGAGCAAACACTGAGCCTTCCCTAAGGAAGAGAAAGACTGCAGGACCAACTGCTGCCTGAGTTTTCAGCCTGCCAGCTTGCCCTGCAGACCTCAGACTTGACAGCCCACACAACTGCCAGAGCCAATTCCTTAAAGTAAGTGTCTAGCCTATCGGCTGTTTCTCTGGAGAACTCAGTGGACACACCAGGCCGGCCCCACTCAACTCCGGCAGACAGCTGAGCTCTGGCAAGGGTGGGCAGGAGCCCTGTATCTGTCTCTACTACAGAGAGGATCAATGCATGTCACCCTCCTGTCTCTTGGGGGTGGGTAACGATGACACTTGGTTACCAGCGGACATCTGCATCAGAGCTCAACTCCACAAAGCCTCGGAGGTTCCTGAAGCCCCTCCCCCCCCATTTCACACCAGGCCTGCCATTTTCCATCAAGGAAGCATATGGCCCTTGATCAAAGGTAGATGGAGTCAGCCGTGCTCTCTTCACGGACAGCACCTGCCAAACATACCACCGTGGATCCGAGAGGAAGACAAGGATTAGGAGACTGACTTCCCTCGGTGGCCACCACCAAAACACGTCACAGTTTGCTTCAAAAGCTGGAACTGCCTTTGAAACTCCTGTGATGGGAACATTCGGAGCAATCCTAGAATTTTGTGAGGGCCTAAGAAAGGAAGGTAGTAAAGTTACCATTGTTCCCTCACAAGAAAACTGATCAGTTCCTCCAAAAACGATTGCATTTCCCAGAAAAGTGACCCACTTTTGCACCAAAGAGGAACGGCCAAAGGGCCTGTCCCCGTCAGCCGGGCTGAGGAATGTGGGAAAACCTTCCTGGGAGCTCTGTCCTTCTTGGGGACCCAGCCCCTTGGCCAGGCTCGGCGTTCCTGTCCCGAATCCCTGTGGGGACCTCCTCAGGCTGGAAAGGCTGTCCCACGGCCCCAGCCAGGTGGCAAGTGAATGCTGGCTACTGATGGGAAAAGAAATGGTGTCCACTTCTCCTGCAAGACAGCAGGCTTCTCCTATTTACATGCGGGGAGAGCACCACGGGAACAAAAGAAGGTTTTGTTTCTGCGACACCATCCTCACCTCCTTGCTCTGTCTCCTCCTGAGGCTGCTAAATCCAGGCTGGCAATTTCTGGAGCTGGTCATAGGCCAAGCTCCAGAAACAAGGGACAGGGCATGGCTCACTCTGCTCATGGCTGCCTGGAAATCACCTCAGTGCCCTTTGTCCGAAGTCTTCTTTCCCACTCTCTCCCACAAGCAAGGTCTCTCTTACACACACACACACACACACACACACACACACACACACACACGCTGATGTATTCTGGGCAGCTAGCCTTGGAAGAAGTGCTAAGTACTCTCAGTGCTCACAGCACGACGACCAGTTAACGAGCGTGGAAACATTCTATCGGATGGATAGGTTTACCTGTGAAATATGGACATGTAACCATCAACTGGTCGGGACGTGGCTATCCTGGACCCTTTGACAGCATTTTCTACCAAGGTCCTTCCGTCCTCTCGGGACTCTAGGAATTACCGCCTTGCTGGGCCTGCCTTGGCTTGAATTCCATTTAAAGGACCGGCATCATAGCAAGATTCAACACCAGAGTTACCGTTCCCATTTTCCAGAAGCAGCCAGATGCACCGAGGTCATGGACTTCTCGGAGCCGGGGAAAGCTCTAACATCTGTGGTCTCCCTGTTTGGCACGTCAGCCTCACCTCAACATTCCCACTAAGGGACTGTGACTTGGCACCTTCATCAACTACAAGTTGACGCAATGGTTTCCAGTGCTTATAAAACATGACAATTATAAAAAGCACATTTAGCATTAGATATATATGTAGCAAAAGGGGCCTACTATAGTTGCAACAGAGTGGAAAATGCAATGGGTGTGGAGTCAAACACCCCTGGTTTGAATCCCATTACTTTAAGCTGTGATCTTGACTTAGCCAGAAAATGCTCGAGCCTCAGTTTCCTCTTCCATCGAATGGGGACGAGCACTCCTCACAGGGCTCCTTGGAGAACTGATAGCTCACTAGATATAAAAGGGCTTTGTACATGATACAGCACTGGCAAGTGTGTATCCTCTTCTTATGATCCCACGTCAGACTGTGCAACATTTAAAAGACATTATCCTGGGGCGCCTGGGTGGCTCAGTTGTTTACGCGTCCGACTCTTGATTTCGGCTCAGGTCATGATCTCAGGGTCTTGGGATCAAGCCCCACCTTGGGATTCTCTCTCTCCCTTTCCCCCTCCCCCTCCCCCTGCTCATGCTTTCTCTCTCTCTCTCTATAATGAATAAATACATTTAAAAAAAAAAAAAAAGAAAGAAATTATCCTTTCTTTGTCCTGAGATTTTACATTCTTTCTGGATATATCTGGGATATTATATCATAATTAAAATCAACTTTACTTTTCAAACCCACAGCTGATGAAATGCTTCTGAGTGTCAGGGACTATTCTGCATTTGATAACACATTCTGTTGTGACCGGCATATCGTGACAAACTCAGGAAAGTTAATACTTAGGCATGCCATCAGAGCAGGGTTGTAAGCGTAAGTAAAGACGAGAAGAAACAGCGTGGTGCATTAGAGAAGGGGACAGAGGAGGGAGGAGGGGGGGGGGGGGTGGAGGCCATATGAAGTAGACCCGTTAGCCAAGTCATACGGCTTGGACATAACGCTGCATTGCCTGGCCACTAGTTGACACTCTCCCTCCATAAAAACATAAGACAGCATTATTTTCCAGGCAATAAAAACCTCAGAGATGAATTCTGCCATATGTGGGCACGGCCCCCCTCCCACAGAGCCCGTGTGCCTGGGAAATAGAATCGAACACCACATCTTCAAAGAGAGTTCTTGGTAAATATACCGAGGTTTTACAACCTCTATCCTCAACATAAACCACTGGAGAACACATTTTCTCAGCTTTGCCCCGTGTTACCATTCCATGGCCTTGCTTTCTGAAACAATCTTTGGAGGAGTGTGACTCATTTCCATTTGGCCTGATCAAGGGATAGGAAAACCAGAAGTCCCGGAGAACAGGAGTCAGGGGTCGCCTTACCTTGAGCCGTTCACCTGGTTAGGGTTACATTCCATCTTGATGGTGACCCTGGCTGGGGGTTGAGACAGCCAGTCTTGCTGAGGGACGCGGGGGCTCATCTTGGATGTCTGTCCATAGTCGCCGGAGGAGGACGCGGTCATGTCTGTCTTGGTCAGGTGTGGCGTCCCGTAGGCGCACTCAAACAATGACTGGTCCTCGCTCACAACCGATAACGCTTCCTGAATGCCCAAAGAAACACACATTCAGGACACGCCGAAGGACAGTCATGCTTCAAAGAGCTGCTGACTTTCGAGTCATTTCTAACTGGGGGCCACAGTTTAGGGAGCTTTCATGGTATATCCAGTTCTATGTCTGGGGAGAAAAAAGTAGCTGGTTTTCTTCCCTCCAGACTCTAACAGTTGGAACCAGCCGGCCCGGAAAAACTTTCCTGCGGGTCTCCGAGCATCTCCAGCTTGACTGCAGCAGTGCGGATAATACCCACTTTAATCTCAACTCAAGGAAGTTGAATTTCAAAGGTCTTAGAAGACATCCAATTGCATGTGTCATTATTTGACAAATGCAATCTATAATTCAAGCAGACAGGGTACAGAATGGTCATGGAGATTAAAAAAAGAAATGGGATGGGTCACACCTAAGAGTCTGGCAAAACAGCCACATTCCCAGGAGATTTAAAAGAAGACGCAGGGGCGCCTGGGTGGCTCAGATGGTTAAGCGTCTGCCTTCGGCTCAGGTCATGATCTCAGGGTCCTGGGATCGAG